TGGGGATTGAGCATGCAACCCGGGCATGTGCCTTTGGCCAGAATCGAACCTGGAACCCTTCAGCCCGCAGGCTGATGCTCTATCCACTGAGCCAAATCGGCTAGGGCTCAGTCTGTCTTAATTTTGACTTCTTTCTCAGTTGTCTTCTTCTCAATAATTACACCAATGACAGTAATAGCTACCACTCTGGGCCATTTTTCAATGTGCCAGGGACTCTTTTCAGCTCTTTATGCCGACTCATGCCTCCCAGCAACCCGATGAGTTAAGTCATTATCTTCAAAATGATAAGGAGGTTGGGGAAGACAGAGATGATGAAGCCTGTAGACCTGAGTTCACAAGGCTGGTAGTTAATAACACCAGGATTTTATGCCAACCCAGTTCTAGAGCCCATCTCCGTTACCCATGCCAACCGCCCCAGGAGTAACCCTATTCAGTCACTACTCCTTTGGTTCTCCACTACTCACCCTCTCTCTGTCTCTAGCTCTGCTACCCTAGCAGAAACCACCATGGCTGATACACTTGAGGTCATCCATAAAAGTGGACAAAGTGAATGAGTTCCTAACTGAAATCCATGTGTGAGTTGACTCTGTTTAAAACAAAAACAAAAACTGTGACTTTCAACCTATGAACTTGCAGGTTTCTTACTAATTTTCATGTAAATATAGACTTACAAAACTGGGGTTGTATTATATGTCTCTCTTTTTTCTTTTCTTTTTCACATCCTCCCCCGAGGCTATTTTTTCCATTGATTTTTAGAGAGAGTGGAAAAAGAGAGAAAGGCAGAGAGAAATATCAATGTGAGAGAAACATATTGACGGGTTGCCTCCTGCCTGCGCCCTGACCAGGGCCCGGGGCGGGGAGGAGCCTGCAACTGAGGTACATACTTTTGATCAGAATAGAACTGAGACTGCTGGTCTATTGAGCCAAACTGGTGAGAGCTTATATGTCTTTTTCTTTTTCTTTCTTTCTTTCTTTCTTTCTTTCTTTCTTTCTTTCTTTTCTCCTTTTTGGTAGTTTGCTGTATTCTCAACATATTCTAAACATCTCCCCACTGTTATTAAAAATTCTGTAAAATTTTATAATAGCATAATATTCTATTTCATGACATACTTTATTCGGCCACTTTCAAATTGTTAGACAATTAGATTGTATTCTTTATTGCTAAACTCAATCATTTAAAACAACTAAGATTTATTATCTCATAGTTTCTATGGGGCAGGAATCTGGCAGTGGCTTTGGCTCTCTCAAGGCTGCAAACCAGGTTTCAGGTGGGCCCCAGTCATCTGAGGTTCCACTTGGGGAAGACCCACTTCCAAACTTACTTGGCTGCTGGCAGAATTTGGTGTCTTGCTGGCTGTAGGCTGGAGTGAGCAAAGGATAAAGTAGGTGGAGACTCAATTCGATGGGGAGTGGAGAGGAGACAGATCACTGATCCCATTGGCTTTGTCCGGTGAAGAGGCCACCGTTTGTATCTGAAAGAAATACATGCTCAGCACTTTCTTCAGTCCGCAGGCCGACGCTCTATCCACTGAGTCAAACCGGCCAGGGCTGAAGCTAGTCTTGACAGGCTGTCAGATGCAGGCCCCTTTAACCAAGGACATCCCCCTCATCTCCTATTGGTCAAAATTTTTTTCTAAGCAAAGGATGGCTGCATTGTAAGGACACAGCTCTGGACAAAGAAATCTGTGGTCTTACCTAGTATTTTGGAAGCATGGAGTTTGTTAATCATCACTTGTAGTAACTGGACAGTTTAGAGAGCAAGTGAAGTCTAGCTAAGACAGCAAGCAGGATTATTAGAGTGTGGCAGTTGCTTATTCGCTAACTTTCTAAAGCCAGAGCTGTCACTGATTGGGAGTTTGTCACTGATTGAAACAGAACCTGGGGGTTACTTGTATGGTGGCCAAAGAACAATTAGTTTTTTCCTTTGTTCAATTCCAAAGGACCACTCTGGCTGCTGTGTAGGCCAGGGCAGAAGTGGGCAGACAAGTTAGGAGGGGAGAGGAGACGTGGAGTGACCTATGGTGGTAGTAGTGGGGGTAATCCGAAGTGTTTCCACTTGGATCTATTTATGTCAACAACAACAGCAAAAACACCCCAAGCTAAGCCAATTCAGCCAATCCTATTGAAGTAACAGAATATTTGCCTTCACACCTGATAACACGTTAGGAGAGTTTTAGAAGGAGGGGTTGAGAGAAAGCCTCTTTGAAGACATGAGACCTCAAAGATGAAAAGAAGACAGGCAAGCGGAAGCCGGTTTGGCTCAGTGGTATAGCGTCGGTCTGAGGACTGAAAGGTCCCAGGTTTGATTCCGGTCAAGGGCATGTACATTGGTTGTGGGCACATCCCCAGTAGGAGGTGTGCAGAAGGCAGCTGGTCGATGTTTCTCTCTCATCGTTTCTAGCTCTCTATCTCTCTCCCTTCCTCTCTGTAAAAAATCAATAAAATACATTTAAAAAAAAGAAAGAAAGAAAGAAAAGAAGACAGGCAAGACCTTACTGGCAAGAGGTCTCTCTCTCTCTCTCTCTCTCTCTCTGTGTGTCTAGAAGGCATTGAGGTTGGGGGGCTGGGAGGAGGGAAGCAGACTCCAGCTCCCTCCAGGCCCTCAGTGCATAGAATGGACTGAGAAGAGAAGAATGGAGACAATACTATAATAGACACTGTCCTGGAATTCTTTTTTTTTTTTTTTTTAAATATATTTTATTGATTTTGTACAGAGAGGAAGGGAGAGAGATAGAGAGTTAGAAACATCGATGAGAGAGAGTCATCGATCAGCTGCCTCTTGCACACCCCCCACCGGGGATATGCCCGCAACCAAGGCACATGCCCTTGACCGGAATCGAACCTGGGACCCTTCAGTCCCCAAGCCGACGTTCTATCCACTGAGCCAAACCGGTCCCGGCGCTGTCCTGGAATTCTAGGAAGCCTCATTAAAGTCATAAAATAATCCAACCGAGAAGTCTTCGTTGTGCCAGAGATTATTTCACTGTCTGCTGAATCATGACTCATAAACAATGGTATAAACTAAGGGGCAGCTGTGGTGCTCATATTCCATGCAAATCACTTTCATACAAGGTCTGGGTTAGCTATGTCTTTCTCAAGACTGAATTGTGATCCGGGTCTCTCTATCACCAGCTGATCGTGAGAAAACGGTTCCGATGGTTGAGGGCTTCCTGAATACCGGTGTAAAGGCAGGTTGTCCAGGCAGGATGGCCTGGGGGTTCGGCTGCAGAGAGGGTGTGGACAAGGCCCCAGTCTCCGCCAAGGAACAGACTCCAGGGGAGGGAGAGTGCTTTCCTCACCTTCGTGGCCTCGGGGCTCCCAGCACAGAGCCTGGTAAACAGTAGGAGCTGAATCACCTTTTTGTTGAATCCGAATGAAGCAGGCAGATTAGATCAACAGCACTGAAATAATACGTTAGCTCAGAGAAAGCGGTCATCTGGTGCATCTTTTGGCTCATCATCCAGTGTGTGGGTTAGTCATACTTCTCCTGATCCTACTACTTCTTTTTTCTACTTCCTGCTCTTGAACACATCCTTTCACTCCTAAAACTCCACTGTATAAGTAATCATAGAGAAAGGAAGAAACAAAAGCCAATTTTAATATTTTCCTTTTTTTTACCCAATAACAGTTTCAAAAAGTATGATAAATATTAAAATTCCTATCACATAAAGATCTTGAGATAATGAGACCAATTTTTTTTTTTTAGGACTTTCTATATGTATGCATGTGAATTCTAAACAAACCTAAGCAGTAGCTAGGATTACCACCACCACCACTCCCTCCCCCTTTCCCCCCCGCCCCTAGGGAGGTGAGGAAACTCTCACAGAAGAAAAGCCAGGTCACAAGCCCTTAGGAGCTGGCATGGAAATCAGGTTGGCTGATTCCACAGAGAGCGGCATTGCTCCGTGCTGCTCTTGGAATCATTTGGAGGCTTCCCCTCGTCTTTTGCTTCAAATGATTGGCTCCGGAAATGTGAAACTATGTGGAGAAACAGTAGGTGCTCTATAAATAAAACATGCCTCCTGTATATGTCTAAGTGATTAAGGCTGGAAAGTTTAACGTGGCACCACGCCACTTGTTTCAGTGGAAGCGAAGGGAAGGAAGGCGATTCCCGGCTCCCTCTGCAGAAACCCCGCCACCCGTTAGCAGCAGCGAGTGGCTTCTGGCTCAGCGCCCATGGGTGATGGGCGCCGCCTGCCTGCCCGGGGGAAGCCCGGCCCAGGCTGCGGGCAGCCAGGGCGCTTGGCCGCTCGGAGGAAAGAACGGGCCAAGGATTCTTGCAGCCCAAATGTCATCTGTTGGGAAAAGCCACATGTCAGTTGCAACTACTACCGGGTGGGGGGAAGGGGGGTGACTTGGGGGGTGCGGGGTCAGGCGGGAGGGTTGGGGGGTGTAGAGCTGGGGAAGAGGGGGAAAGGGCTGGTGCAACTTTTTAAATTGGGGGTGAAGGCTGTCCAGGCTGCATTTTTTTTTTTTTTTTTTTTTTTTGGTGAAACCCCCAGAAACGCGAGCCCCGTAGACTACATTGTGTCGGAGGGAACGCTGTGCGTTTGGCAGCGCCAACAAGGAAACCGGGAAGACACGAGGCGCGGAGGGCGGCCCGGGAGGTAGCCGCCGCCGCTCCCGTCCATCCGCCCGGCGGCTCGGGTGTCGCCCGGGCCCGCGACGCCTGCCCTTGGCGTCCCCTTCTTAGCCTGGCGGCCCCCGGGCCGGGGTGACAGCTCCACGTGGGAGCTGAAAGGAGGGGGGGGCGCGATCGCCCGCTCCGCAGGGGCCCCTGGAGACACGGTGGGGAGCGAGCCGTTCGGACCCGAGCAGCGCCCCCCATCCCGGCCCCCCAATAGACGGCGGGGGTCCCCCAGACCCGCGCCCCGCGGCGCGCAGCCCGCTCCGCCCGCCCGCGCGCGGGGAGGGCGGGGCGGGGCCGGGCGGGGCGGGGCGGGCGGGGCGGGGCGGGCGGGCGGCGCGGAGGGAGGTTCCGGGCGGAGGGGAGCGGAGGGAGGGCGCCGGGCGGAGGGAAGCGGCCCGCGGCGGAGGGAGGGGAGGCCGAGCGCTGGAAGCGGAGCTCTCCGCGCTGGGACTGGTTCCTTCGCAGCCATTTTCTGTCCAACCAAACAGCCGATTGGAGACGGGAGCCAACCAGGGCTGCATTGGAGGTTTGTGTCTCGCTTCGGCCAATGATCGCTCCTAAAGCGACTCCACTTTCGCTCGAATGAAATGTCCGTCTCCTCCCGGCGCCGTCCCCGCCGCCAACGCCGCCGCGGCCGGGGCACTCGCCTCCCGCCCGGCCGCCCGGCCTCCCGCCCGCCCGGAGGCCGCTCCGCTGCGGGCCGGCGGGGAGCGGGGAGCGGGGAGCCGGGCGCCGGGAGCCCGGAGCGGGCGCCGGGCCGCGGCGCGGGCTTTGTGCGCCGGGCGGGCGGGCCGCGGGCCAGGGCGCCTCCCGCCGCCGCGGAGCTCCGGCCGGACGCCGAGCACGGGGCTCCCCCGGCGCCGCCGCCCCCCTCCTCCCGGCGCCCCGCCGGCTCCATCTTGTGCGGGAGCGGGCCCGGGGCTGGGGGCCGGGAGGGGGGCCGGGGACGCGGTCCGGACACCCTGCCCGGCCCCTGCCTCCCGGCCGGCCGCCGCGCGGGTCCCCGGGGAGCGCTCCCCGCCGGCGGCGTGCGGCCGGGCCGCTTTGTCTCCCGCCCCGGGCCCCGCGGAGGGCGGGCGGCGGGCGTTGGGCGCGGGCCCGGGCCTGGCCGCCGGGCCGGGGGGATGACAGGCCGGGGCCGGGGCCCGGGTCCCCCTGCGGCTCCTGCGTGGGGCCCGGGGAGGAAGGGAGGGACCCGGTCTCCCCGCAGCCGGCTCTGCGCGCACAGGAGGCGGCCATCGGGCGGCTCGCGGGCCGCGGACTCGCCCCGAAGGTGGGACCGAGGTTGCATCTCGGGGGGTGGGAGGCGGGAGGCTGCGCGGGCCTCGGCCCCGGCCCGGGAGAACAAAGCCTGGCAGGGCACCCTCAGATCCTCCCCCGAAGTAGTCCAGCTCAGGTGGTGTACGAGCTTTAAAAAATAAAAAAAACCCAAACAACACAAAACCCAGCAGCATCCCGCTAACCTCCTTGGACTTTGCGGCTCTGTGTTGAGGTTGGGGCTCCCGCTCGCCCGCAAACTGCTCAGCAGCGGGGAGCGGGGAGGCGAACCCGCCTGTGTCAGCGGCATTCATCGGTCGGGGGGTTATTTGTAAAGTATGGAAAGTTTGGCCAGAATCCCCTCCAAGGCGGTTCAGTCATTTTTATTCCTTTCCCCCGCTGCTCTCGGAGCCTCACGGAAGGACTTTGGATGGATGCAAAACTCCGGGGGTGGATGCGGGGAGAAGGGAGGGCGGAGGGAGGAAGGGTCTGGCCGCTTTTCTGGGATGCGATTTGCATTTCTCCAAACGTGAAACAGATGTACGCGTTCCCTTGAGCTTGCACATAGATCATAACCTGTCTTTGAAAATGTATATGCCATATGGGGTGAGAACGTTTTTTGTTTTGTTTTGTTTTCTTTGATTTGCTGGATCTAGATACCCAACTGGGTGAATGTGGGGTGAGGGGTAGACCCACCTCCACCCCCACCCCCATGCAAAAAAAGAAATGTTTTATATATATATATATATATATATATATATATATATGTATATTTTTTACATTTTAAGTGTTGTGAGGACTTAACCCCTCCTCCCCCAAAGATACCCTTAAAAAAATGCAGCACGTCTAGCTACAGGAAGGAATTTTTTGGGCCATGTTGGGGTTAAAAAGAGGACAGTATTTGAAAAGAAATTAAAAATTGCTTTTACGATGATAGCAGACAATGTCAGCCTGTCTGTGCTGCCTCTACCCCTGTAATGGCTTTTTGAAAATTCAATTTCAAGTGGCTATAATCTTTTCCTGCTGTTTACTAGATTTCATGCTGGAATGCCTGTTATTTTTCTCCCCTTCAAATGAACACGGAAAGGATGTTTTCGTTTTGACACTCCTCTAATTGTTTCACTTGCCAAAAGGAAAAAGAACAAATGGGAAATGGAGATTGTAGCATTCGTAATTGATACCAATTTATTCAGCTATTTGCAGTGAGAATGAAGAGCTGTTCAGATGCAATTTTAGTCCAGATTGGTGGGTGCTTTAAAATTATAAATAGAGGTCTTGATTGTGTTGTTCTATGCATGTTCTCTGGACAGCATGTATCTTTCCAGTATAATTAGAGATATTGAATTTAAAAGCATTATATTCTGAGATTAAAATTTTCGTCCCTTTTGGACCCCTGAATTTCATTCTAAAACCATCTTAAATTTCATTTAAGAAAGCCATCCCCAAATTAAGCCGATATGTCTTGGCAGTTAATATTTTAAGTACTTTAGATGTGTAATTTTTGGTCTCTTGCATATTATATAATTTGGGGTGCTGTCATGAATATGGTGAGCTTGACTAAACTCAGGGTTATGTTGGGAAAGCAATTCACCCTTTCCTTCTTACCCCCCCTCCCCCACAATAGTCAACTTTTAAAGTTTGAGTTGGCCAAAATAAATCTTCCAGTTTAACAAACATTGATTGGTGCCTGCTTTTTGCACCTTTTAACGCCATGCACTCCATCGAGTAAGAATTGTAGGTAAAATTATACCTGCCTTTTACAACTTTACAAAGAAGAAAGCCCGTAGGCTTCACGTTTTTACAACTGATCCACGTTTATGTTTTAGGTTGAAATTGGGTGATTATCAGACCCCGGGTGAATATCAGACCCTGGTGTGGAAGGGTGTTCTTGTGCACCACTGACAACACCGTTCTGACAGTATTTCATGACCGTAAGTATGCTTTCCCATTTTGGTTGTTAATTAGATTTGCACAGTAATTAGCTGGGGATTACAACTGATTTTATAGTGGGGAGTCCGAATAGGATGAATGCCTTTCAAGTCTAGCCAGACAGTACCTATATTCATTCCCAAAGCTTCCCCCTGTTTAGTGACTCGGTATATAGCGTTTGCTGTGGGCCCCTAAGCGCTGTTTTAAAGCTACAGGATACAAAGCTTGTCCCAGCTCTTCAGAGGCTGTTTATCTGGTAGGGCGCTAGTCGATTGAATACTTAAGGACAGTTATGTGTGGAGTGGAAAATGCTGGTTCTCAATAGGGATAGTACAAGTGAAAAGACAGGGGTAGGGAAGCCTGGGTAGTTGGGAATGCCATGGAGGGAGCTTGTAGGCTCCAAATGAGCCTGAAGGTTGAAGGGATTCGGATAGGTGGAGGGTGTTGCCGAATGCAGAAGCCTGAAGGGGAATCACTTATGGTTAGGGGATGGAGGGTAGATCTGCATGGTCCGGGCAGGGATTTCACAGGATAATCGAGTGAAGAGATCCCACCGGATTCCTGTCTGGATACCCCGTTCTGGGTCTGCTCCTGTGCCTGTGACAGCAGGCCTCGAGCAGTGATTGCCTCACTGCTAACCTGAAAGGTGCTCCTCAGAAAGGCACAGTCTAGCTCCTAGCACTAAGCTTTTTTTTTAGTCATATTATAAGGATTGAAACAAGATTGGTTAGGTGAAGTGGGGGAGCCACTCTTGATGCCCGGGAAGATGGTGAGAACTGCATTTGAAGGGACAGTAACCATAGGAGGTTTCATCTGTCCGGTGCTTACGACGTAAGGTGCCCTTTGCTGAGAGCTAACAGGCACAGTAACCTCACCTCTCCTGGCAGCCCCATTTTAAGTGGGAGGCTGAGCACAAAGAAGGTGGCACGGAGGACATAGAGTTTGGAAGGGGGCGCTCAGCTGCAAACCCAGTGTCTGTTGTAAGAGCCTCTGTCCCATCATGCCTCCTGGGAAGATGAATCCGAAACCAGGTGCGTTTCTTAGCCAGAACCATTAACTTCCCATACTTTAGAGAACACTATTTTCAGCTAAATAACTAGAATAGTCACTGAAGGAATTCAGTGTGATTTAACTACTCTATTCCTACTTGCCAGTTCCCTTGATCCTCATGATTCATCATGTTACGTGTTCTCTTGTCATTTTCCCACACGCTCTTCCCTCTGTTCTCTGTCCTTCACCAGTAAGTATCACAAGTGGGCATCCCGGTACCACTTACACATTCTTGGTCATCAACTTCAGCCAGGCTCTTGGCACTGCCCAGTCCATTCTCTTCCTTCCCATTCTCTGCAGCAGAGGCATCGTCTGCCCAGCTGCAAGAATCCCAGCATGGTCTGTGGTTCTTCCTCCAGTTCTGGTTCAGTCAGTTGCCAGATCTGCTGATTTTACCAGCTGCTACCATCTCTTCAGCCCCTGCTCTCTCGGTCTCCAGATACCGGAGCGACCACCATCTTGCCTGAGTTCCTGCCCTGATTGCAGCACTGTGGTCCCTGCTGGTCTGCCCCCATCCTTGCCCCCCTCAGTTCACTGATACACTGGACTGTAGCCAGAGTGGTCTTTTAAAAAGAAATCCGATTGACCCTCTTTGCTCTTGTCTACCGCACTGCTTGGTCTAGCTCCCACTGAGCTTGCTGTAATCCACTAGGACTGTATTTCCCTATTTCCTTTGTTTGGAACATTCTTTCCCTGCCTGACTGATTTCTATTCATCTCTCAGTCTCAGTTTAAATGTGATTTCCTAACGCAGCCTTCCCTGACCCTCAGTCTAGGAGGTCCCTTTCGGAACAAACTCCCCAAACATGTAACAAAACATCTTTGTTTTCCTCAGCACCAACAGTTAATCACTTGTAATTATTTAATAGCTCCTATTGTACAGTGCTGTCTGCATGGCAAGTTCTGTTCTCATCCTGCTTGCTCAAGGTCTCATGACCAGCGAGTAGGGAATTCAAACCAGGTGGCCCAATTCCAGCACATTCCTTGGAAGTACCGGTAGGCTATGCTTACCTCCCCTTCCCCGTGCCCCCAGTTTACGTAACGTCTGTCTTCTCTGCCAGGTGAGGACAGAGACCTGTCTGAGCTGGTGACTGCTTCCCACACAGCACGGGCCTGATGCGTCCTGAGTGTTTACGCGATAAATGTTTGTTGACTGGCTTGCTTACAAGCGATAGTCTACTTTTAGAAAACTTTATAGGATATTTTAGACCTAGAAAAAAAATTGGGATTGTAGCAAGTCCCCCCTCTCCCAATATGTAGATAGCATATTGTAAGCATCAAAGATGAGGTTGGCCGAAACCGGTTTGGCTCAGTGGATAGAGTGTCGGTCTGCGGACTGAAGGGTCCCAGGTTCGATTCCTGTCAAGGGCATGTATATTGGCTGCGGGCACATCCCCAGTAGGGGGTGAACAGGAGGCAGCTGGTCGATGTTTCTCTCTCATCGATGTTTCTAACTCTCTATCCCTCTCCCTTCCTCTCTGTAAAAAATCAATAAAAAAAAAAAAAAAAGATGAGGCTGATTTGTTGATGTGCTCGTTCACTTGTTGAATGAAAGGTGTAAGTGCTTTGGGGATTCAGAGAAGGGAACACGTAAGTCTTGGCTTGCAGAATGGAGTCACCCCAAAGGTTGAGGAGGATGGGGGACCCTGGGTTTGAAGTAGGGGAGGAAGACGGTATGGTGAAAGGACAGGATGGATAAAACTGCGGAACCGGAGACGCAGACAGCTAAGCCGAGGGCGTGGCTTATCTTCAAAGGCGGAGAGGTGACACTGATGTCTCCTGAGTACCTAACGCTGTCCTTAGCAGGTGTCTGTTCTTTGTTTAATTCTGACAACTCCAAAATAATTTCAGAAGCATTTTTTAGAAGACTGAGGTTTAGAGACTAATTCTGTTAATCCAACTGATGATCTTGTTGCTAATTGAAGTGCATGACAAGATAAGGTGATTTTTTTTAATATTTTGCCTTTAATACTTTTTTATGTTATATTTATAAATTAATCTCAGATCCTAGTCATTTGAACAGTGTCCTGCAGAGCAGCTATTTTAAAAAGGCTCATGCTCTCCTGTGGATATTCATTTTGGAGAGAATTTTTTACCGTGGTTTTTTTTCTCCCCGATTAACAAAGAGCTGTTTTCAGTTCTGTCTCCTGCAGCTGGATCTCCCCTCGGGCGTTGTAAAAACCAGTCAGTTCACAGCTATTCCAATGGAGCTTTTTTATGACTAATAAAACCTATCATCATACCTGTCTAGTAAAGACTGCTCTCCTAGGATCTTGTTTGTATTTTAGGATTAATACAGTATTTTGTATTTGGGTAATGTTTCACATGCATTTATTTTATTAACTGCAGTATTTGAGTCCTTGTCTAACACTTCTTTTCCATTTCTGTTGAATTTTACAAAGTCTTCAATAACAAGGCATTTCAGCCGGGACCGGTTTGGCTCAGTGGATAGAGCATCGGCTTGGGGACTGAAGGGTCCCGGGTTCGATTCTGGTCAAGGGCATGTACCTTGGTTGCGGGCACATCCCCAGTAGGGGGTGTGCAAGAGGCAGCTGATCGATGACTCTCATCAATGTTTCTAACTCTCTATCCCTCTCCCTTCCTCTCTGTACAAAATCAATAAGATATATTTTTTAAAAAAATAAATAACAAGGCATTTCTTTGATACATCTGTTGACTGCGGTATCTAACCTAATTGGAGCTGCAGATATATTTCCATAATTTACATAGTTTTTCTAGGGGGTAGAGAACAGAATTCACCTACCTTTAATAATTTGTAAAAGTACAGGGTACCTATTTACTCATACTTTAAAAAAATTGATTGATTTTAGAGAGATAGCAGTTTGTTGTTGCACTTCTTTATGCACTCTTTGGTTGTTTCTTGTCTGTGCCCTGACACAACCTTGGCATATCAGGACTACTCACTGAGCTACCCAGCCAGGGCCTCTGAGAAGTGATATTCAGTTAGTGAGTTATGACTCTGACTCTCCTACTGAGCTCTGAAAACAAGAGTCCCTTTTGGTTAAATGTATTTCTATATAAAATGGAAATAATATCACCTTCCCTATCTCAAATAGCTGGATTCTGGGCTTGATGAATATTTAGAATCAAGTATCTCTTGATTTGGTCTGAAAGCATGTATATATTCCACTTAAATTTCGCTATACTATTATATTTATTCAGATAATGCATTAAATTTTTTCTACCCACAACTAGCCAGTCCTGTTTTTTGTTTTTGTTGTTGTTTCTCTCTCTCTCAGTATTATCTGAAAGACTCCCAGGGCTTGCCGTGTGGGTGAAGTGGATTGTAGTATTTTAAAACTAACGGTTCTGTTTTATTCCAGATTTCCCCTCTTAGAATTCTTTTAGCTCTGAGCAAAATTAATTAAGCAGGCATCTTTTCAAGTAGCCATTTAAATGGCTTATAACCACTCTTGTCTGTGGTTATAATTTCCCTACCCTTGTATGCAGAACTCCAGTCTCCTTGACCCCTCCTTTTCTTCTTTCTTTAAAGAATCAAAAGTTTGAGGTTATGGGAAAGAGAAAATGAACCTTTGGCTAAAATTAGAGGTTGATGGGCTCATTCAAAATGTGGGTGCATGCTTGGTTACATGGGTACAGATTGTGCAAGGAATCCATACGCTTCTAGCCCAGACAACAGTTTGAATCAAGGCATTGTCTGTTGTGGGCCTTCTGTGTGACCACAAAGAAAGTCAACAGAGGAACCAGAGGCTTTCCTGGGAATATCAGGCTCCGCAGGAGAGCCGGAAGTGCCGCACACAGGTGCTTTCAGGAGAAAACTAATTTTGGTTCTGCTTGTTGATGGGGGTAAGTTAGGCTGTAAATCAGAGTTGCCTGCAGTATGTTTGATGGTTATGCGGTTGAAAATAAAGAGATGTGCATTTTAGATTCATTTCCTTATTGTGTCTCCCTGTTGGTCTTCTGTTTGCACTTATGGAGGATGATGGGGGACTCTTGGACAGTTGGCCAATTATCAAAAGGTTTCCAAGTCAAGAAATACAAATGTTTTCTTTTAGAAAGCTTAAGCCATGACAAATGTAGTTGACCTGTCCTATGATATTTCATGAGCACTACATTTTTTTACACAAGTTTTATTGAAGAATTTTGACAACCCTTTTCCTCCTAGATGGATGGAGACAGTTCTACAACAGATGCTTCTCAACTAGGAATTTCTGCAGACTATATTGGAGGAAGTCACTATGTTATACAGCCTCATGATGGTAAGACAGCCACAGTCCGAACAAATTCACAAGTAGGAGCAAATTAGGAAGTGGAAAGTCCATTATTACAATGCTATAGGCTACTTTTGTCTTTACAGGAAAATTAGCAATCTTGCATCACCATTCAGAGAAAGTGTATAAAGGTGCACCATGCTACTTTAATTGCAATAGTCTTCAAAGAGTGATGAGTGATAGCAAAGAATTCTGTAGGAGTATGGCTTTTAAAGTTTCTTAAAAAATTTGTTACTGATTTCCTATTTGACAATTAAATATGGAAAATTCTTACTCAATTGGAATAGTAAGTTCTTTAGAGGGTGAGCTGCTAGCTATTATTTTTAGTACTTATAAACAGATTTATTTTTGTTTTTCCTTCAATATTAAGTTTGAGCTCTGCAGGTATTAAAATTGGCCTATCAGAAATAATTTGGCTTTGTGGCATTGTGATTTGTAAAAAAACATTAAGATACATTTTTGTAGAAGGCACTTAGAGGAGGCAATTAGTTACTTCATCCTAAAACATACTTGAACAAGTTAATTTTTATAACATCCTTTTAAACACATGAAAATGTATACTGAATCAGCTTACGTGACTTTCCTATTTAATTCATATAAAAAGTGGGAAGTTCCCTTACGAGATAATGCATTTAATCATCAAAGGATATTATTGGTACTGTGAAAGCTTCAGTTATATCTAAATCTACATAATTTGAAAATTCACTTTTTGTAATAATATTGGATCACTGCCATAGCTTTGTTCAAAACTGTAACTACAATACATTAGTAATAAGCCAATTGGATCAGTAATATTCGAGTCCAATTTTTCCTTCCTAGGTAAATTTGGCTTTGGGTAGACATATAAGCTCTTAATCTAGCAAGAGTCAAGGAGCCATCACCATACGTCAGGGTCTATAAGTTTTATAGCTCAGCCATGCAACACATTTATGAGCACTTCCCTTGTCATAGGTGCTACCAAGTGCTAGGAAAGAGACACAGCTGACTCCTGGTCTCAAGTAGAAAAAAATCTAATAGAAGGAATCCTATATAATAAAAGGCTGATATGCAAATCGACCAAACAGCGGAATGACCGGTCACTGTGATGTGCACACTGACCACTAGGGGGCAAACACTCAATGCAGGAGCTGCCCCTGGTGATCAGTGCACATCATGGGGGGAGCCCTGCTCAGCCAGACGCCCTGAGCCAGGCTCTCGGCCGGAGAGCCCAGTGGCGGTGGTGGGAGCCTCCCACCTCTGCGGCAGTGCTAAGGATGTCCGAGGGCTCCGGGCCCACGAGATGGCGAATTCCGTGCACCGGGCCTCTAGCCAGAAGTAAAAAGAATTACACAGTGTGTCAGAAAAATGCAGAGGCACTTGCGATGTTTTGTGAAAGCAGAGCTCACTTCTGAAGTGCTGTGCGAGGTGGTTACTGAGCTGTTTGGAGAATGAGTAGGTAGCATTTGAGTAGACAGAGTTGAGGACCAAAGAGTTCTAGGCAGTAGGTTTGAAATTAAGGAGAAGGTTTAGTTCTGGCCTGAGAAAGTGGTGAAAAGAACTACCGGTACTATATCCTAATCCCTAAAAAGGGTTAGGACATGAGCCAGAATGGCTCTCATCCTAGGTTGCTATAGACAGTCTTTCTTCTCTACCTTGAAATAAAAATTATGAGAAGCCTCAAACTAAATTACTTTGATTTCTTTAGATACTGAGGACAGCATGAATGATCATGAAGACACAAATGGTTCAAAAGAAAGTTTCAGAGAACAAGATATATATCTTCCAATTGCAAACGTGGCGCGGATAATGAAAAATGCCATACCTCAGACGGGAAAGGTAATGTGGAGGAGAAGCTTCACCGGGAGATTTTTGGGGGTGGGGTGGGGTGGGATGTAAAACTACATGAACATAGATCATGCCTACAGTTAGTTATTCTTTTCAGTCCTTCAGCAAATCAAGTATTTCTTTCAATTCTAATACTTAGTTACTGAACACTGTTTCATTTTCAGTTCTATCATGTACCCAAAATGCATTCTTTCCCCCATCTATTCGAAGCAAATGAAATATAAGAAACTTTTAAAAAATATATATATATTTTATTGATTTTGTACAAAGAGGAAGGGAGGGAGAGAGAGAGTTAGAAACATTGATGAGAGAGAGTCATCGATCAGCTGCCTCTTGCACACCCCCTACTGGGGATATGCCCGCAACCAAGGTACATGCCCTTGACCGGAATCGAACCTGGGACCCTTCAGTCCCCAAGCTGACGCTCTATCCATTGAGCCAAACCGGTCCCGGCAATACAAGAAACTTTTAAAAAATAGGTGCATTGTCAGAGCTCTCGGGTTTGGGCATATTGGTAACTTCCATAATGTTGCAGCAAAATTCGGTCACATTGGACTGATGTGCGTATTATAAGGGTTTTTTAAAAACCCTTTTATTTGGAAACAACTATTTTTTTATGTTTTTGTCATTTTACCTGAGAGAACATTTTTTAAAATGGATTTTTAGAGCAGCGGTCACCAACCTTTCGAACCTCAAGGACCACCGGTGGTCCTCGGACTCATCGGTTGGCCACCGCTGTTTTAGAGAGAGAGGGAGAGACAGAGAAACCTCTCGAGGTTGACTCCCATGCTTTCCCTGATTGGGATTGAACCCCCAACCTGGGCCTGTGCCCTGACTGGGAGTTGCACCCGCAATCTTTTGGTGTACCGGATGATACTCCAGCCAACCAAACCACCTGGCCAGTGTGAACAACTATTTTTTATAAAGTTATAGATATTAACATACATTTACATTCAACTGGTAATTTTTTAAGTAGTTTTGTTAGAACAATTTTAAAAACTCATTGTCACTGTACTCATCACTTGGTCTTAAATAAAATTCACACTTTGTTTTATATTGCCTAATAAACTTCTCTATCATTTTATTATACCTTATAGAGTATATATGAAAGTAACAAAGCTTTTAAATAAATATATTATTAAAATATATCACTCAGCCTATAAGTTTCAGTTTGAGAGGTCCTCCTTTTATGTTTTTTTAAAAAATATATTTTTATTGATTTCAGAGAGGAAAAGAGAGATGGAAACATCAGTGAAGAGAGAGAATCACCGATCGGCTGCCTCTTACATGCCCCCCACTGCATGTGCCCTTGACCCTTCAGTGCACAGGCCCATGCTCTATCCACTGAGCCAAACCAGTCAGGGCTGTTGTTTTAAAATATATTTTTTATTGATTTCAGAGAGGAAGAGAGAGGGAGAGAGAGAAACACCAATGATGAGGGAAAACCACTGATCGGCTGCTTCTGTACATCCCTACTGGGGATCGACCCCGCACCCTGGGCATGTGCCCTGACTGGGAACTGAGCCATGGCTTCTGGTTCACAGGTCAAGGCTCAGCTACCGACTCACACCTGCTGGGCCTCTTTCTATTTTAAGGGGGGAAAAAGCACAACTGCTGATTATTTCTGAGACTAGGCCTGCACTGTTGTCCAGGACCCATAGCTACAAATGGTTATTGAGCATTTTAAATGTTATTGGAGCTAACTGAGATGCGCTTGAAATGTAAAACATACACCAGATTTTAAAGGCTTGTATGAAAAAAAAAAAAAAAGAATGAAAATACTTCAATTTTTAAATTGATCTTGTGTTTAAGTAATATTTTAGGTTTATTGGGTTAAATAAAACATGTAAAATTAACTTACCTGTTTCTTTTAAAATGGCTACTAGCAATACATTGGGTGGCCAGATTATTATGATCTCTAAACGCATAATATGGCCACTCAGTGTATATCCTATATAATAAAAAGGTAATATGCAAATTGTCCCTTCAACCAACAGGCAGGCTGGCCAACCTCCCATGTCCCCTCCCCCTGGCCAGGCTGGCCAGACCCCACCCATGCATGAATTCATGCACCGGGCCTCTAATACACACACACACACACACACACACTCTGAATGGCCAGATTATTATGCGTTCAGAGATCATAATACTCAGTGTATACAGCTCACATTATATTATCTTGCTTGACTGCATTTATGCAGCTCTTATTTACTTTTCTCCAGGATTTTAGGCATGGAGATGAAAGACGGTATATTTTAGCAAGGATCTGGAGTGTCATTCCTATTAGAAGTGGCTTTGGAATTACATAATTTAGTCCATTAAAGTCTTACTTTCTAATCCTAGACTCTTAAGAGAACTTTTTATGAGGTGGTGGTTGTGCGCTTCTTTAGGTAGGCTTTTTTTTTTTCTTAATATAATTTTATTGATTTTTTACAGAGAGGAAGGGAGAGGGTAGAGAGTTAGAAACATCAATGAGAGAGAAACATCGACCAGCTGCCTCTTGCACACCCCCTGCTAGGGATGTGCCCGCAGCCAATGTACATGCCCCTGACCAGAATTGAACCTGGGACCTTTCAGTCCACAGACCGACACTCTACCACTGAGCCAAACCGGCTTCGGCTAGGTAGGCTTTTGTTGTTGTTAATCCTTACCAGAGGATATTTTCCCTATTGATTTTTTTTTTTTTTTTTTTTTTTTTTAAGAGAGAGTAGGAGGGAGAGGAAGAGACGGAGGAATATCAAAGTGAGAGACATATGGATTGGTTGCCTCCTGCGTGTGCCCCAACCGGGGCCAGGGATCAAGCCTGCAACCGAGGTACATGTCCTTGACTGGAATCCAACCACCCTTCATTTGGGCCAGCACTCTAACCACTGAGCAAAACCAGCAATGCTTCTTAATAAACTCAAAACCTATACCTGACACTTTTGTATCTTCAGTAGAATGACACCAGGTGTCATTCTTTCACTCCCTTGTAAGTCTTATGTGACTTCAGTGTTTGATTTTTAAAATTTCAGTGCCCTTATTTTTAGAAATAACTGGTACCGAAGTCTGTAGCCCACAGTATACTAACTACACACAACCTGGCTTTCTTGGGACACTCGTTAGGGTTTTTGCTTTGGGATGGAAGGGATGTCCAGTGGTTGCTTTTATAACTAAACCAGAGGCCCGGGCTTCCCTTGTAGCCCCAGCTTCGTCCCCAAGGATGACCCGTCTAATTAGCATATTATGCTTTTATTATTATAGGTTATATCTGTTTTCTGTGACTAGTTGTCAAGGCTTCTCTGACTTGTATTTGAGTTTTTAATTCTCACTCTGAGGGTTGGAATTTTAGTAGTACAAACTGTGTTTATGTTATTAGCATATATTTCAGAGACTAAAGGTTAACCGTCATAAACTGAAGTTTGTATTCTTCTGAGTAACTTTCACTTTTGCCGTTGTCAGGAAGGTGATGGTTATACTCCCTGCAAGTTTACCTTTCACCTTTCTCTTCAGATTGCAAAAGATGCCAAAGAATGTGTCCAGGAATGTGTGAGTGAGTTCATCAGTTTTATAACATCGGAGGCCAGCGAAAGATGCCATCAAGAGAAACGGAAGACAATCAATGGTGAAGACATCCTCTTTGCTATGTCCACCCTCGGTTTTGACAGTTACGTAGAACCTCTAAAATTGTACCTTCAGAAATTCAGAGAGGTGAGTAGACTGTCTTCCATTATGCTTCTGAGAAAATAAGACACGCTATGCACTAACTTTTAAAATGCATTGCTCAAAAATTCATTTTATAGAAAACTACGTAACATTTCTCAGATGTGTGTCATCCCTTACGTTACTGTACTCAAGTAGGAAGTCCTTTCTTTTCCCTCTGGTTGTTGCTAACAGCAGCAGAGTTACGTAATGACTAAGAATGTGGACTCTGGAGGGTGAAGCCCAGCTCCACCACAGGTGAACTCTGTGACCCTGGCAGGTTATTGAAGTATTTAGGCCTGGTTTCCTGATCCGTAAGGTGAGGCTAGTGATACTGCTGCCTCCCGCATTATTGAGAGGACCCAGTGGAACAGTCCATGGACTGCATTCAGCAGGGCATATAGTGAATGCTCAATAATGTCAGTGCGTGCTGGTATTGGTATTAATTTAAGAGGTAGCATCACTGCCTATGAATTTTGTGAAAATGAATTAAAATCAGTGTATTGATTTCCGCACTGCAAGTTGGGTGTATCATTCACTTTGCTTTCAAAATATTTTCTTAGTTCCTTTAGTGTTAGAATACCATTAAATTAGTGATACCTTTATGGAATGATTCAAGTAGGAAGAAATATGTAGATTCTTCACAGTATTTTTCTAAATCTTTAGCATAATGGGATTTTAGAATGGATAACTTAGAGGTCTTTGTTCCAAACTGTAATTTTGATTTAGAAATTTTAAGCTCTATCTATCTGAGGAAAATCAAGGCCTGGAAAGGCAAATATATCCTCCTTATTCTTATCTTAGTTCATGTAATAAAGGTGTTTGTTGTTCTTAAAAAAAGTTAATTAAACTCTAAACTTGCTGTTACAGTACTGCCCAGTTGGCTGAGAGTGTATATATAATTGATAACTTGGACCATTTGTAGTAGATTTATAAGCTGAATATACTATTTTACAGATTATTTCATCTGTAAGTAGAGTTCCAGTTTCCTTTAGATGTAGTGTGGAATTAGAATAATTTAATTTTACCCATAAATATTTTAGATTTTCTAGGTCATTATTAAGACTACCTTTTGATGATTACTACTTGTATAAAAAGTTAGCATTTGAAGTCCTTTTCATATGTAATTAACCAGAAGTGTTAATAAATACTGTGTAGTGTTTGTAAAAATAGAAGTTCCTAATTTTAGAAATTGATCAAGCATTCTTGTTTAGAGAACTGTTCCTTTTGAATAGCAGTGATTACATTTTTGGTTCTCCTTCCCCAGGCAATGAAAGGGGAGAAAGGCATTGGTGGAGCAGTCACAGCTGCAGATGGATTAAGTGAAGAACTAACAGAGGAGGCATTTGGTAAGCAGTGTTGTGATACGTTTATACAACTAAATTTAATGTAATTTAGTGTCCGTGGTGGTACTTTAGGAAAGTCAGCACTGAGGGTTTTGACATAGCCCTGTCTTGAATAGTCCTTTGAGTTGGTACCCGTATATTTGACACAGTGAGGGATAAGTATAAAATTTAAATTTTGCAGATATAATCCTTCACCGATAGTTTGACTGATTGCCATAGCCCTTATTTTTTTGTCTAAGATTCACATGAGATAGGAATGTTGAGAACTGTAGTTTGCAATATAAAAATCTTGTGATTTAAATAAATTTGAACTGATTTGAGTATCATTGTTATATGGTGAAATAAAAGGTCTATGGTGATTATATTTCTCATATAAGTTTTATATGTAAATATTCTATTTCTTATATAAACTTTATATGATTTCTTACATAAGAAATTATGCTACTTCGTTATGTGAATACTGCTTTCAGCCAACCCTCATGGTGTAGGTCTATCCCTAAATCAGAAACTCATTTCGGCAGATTTGTGCATATGGGTAGTTAGCTAAAGTACAGTTCAGAGAAATGAAGATTCAGAAAACCAAAACTGCTTCAGGAGCTTTTTAAAAATGGAATATTTGGGGTTATGTGTTGGCCCAAGATTACATTGATAAAGAGCAGAATTATAAGATGTTAATGGCACAATTTTACGGTTCAGGCCAAGAAAGTAGATGCAGTTCTTTTCTCACTTTAACTTTTTTTTTGGTCTTTTAGCTAACCAGTTACCAGCTGGTTTAATAACTGCAGATGGTCAACAACAAAATGTTATGGTCTACACAACATCATATCAACAGGTAGAGTACCTTCTTTGGATTTTAAATTATTTTAAGAATTGATTATATCCATTGATTTTGATCACAGATAGTTAATTTCAACACATTATTATGTTATTATTAACCTGATTTTTAAAAAGGTTAAATACTATTTTATCAAAATATACAATTGTTTGGCACTCTCTTAAAGTTACACACACACACACAGACACACAGATTAGAGGCCTCATGCACGAATTTGTGCATGGGTGGGGCCCCTAGGCCCGCTGGCAGTCAGGGCCAATCAGGGCGATCTCGCCCAGTCCAGGAGGAAGGACAGTGGGAGGTTGGTGTGGGAGCTCACTGACCACCAGGGTCTGCCCTCTGGTGATCAGTGCATATCATAGCGACTGGACATTTGATCAACTGGTCTTAATGGCCACTTAGGCTTTTGTGTGTGTGTGTACAGACACACATTCATATTTGCATAGAATATTTCTAGATAGGTGCACAAGAAATTAATAGTTTCCTTGGATAGAAAGAGTGAAGATTTGGGGTGAGATGTAGACTTTTTTTTTCATCTTCTATTGTTTTTCTTAATTGACTATTGTTTTTATTCATTGAATTATAATATGCATGTTATTTTTAAACGAATTTTTCTTTCATTCTTATCAACTTAAATTTTCTAACCTTAGATTTCTGGTGTTCAACAAATTCAGTTTTCATGATCTGAAGAAATGATGAGTGGAGTAGGAAAAGCAAGTCTGTACGATTCCGAAGCAGAGACATCAGAAGGACTGGGAAAAGCTCTCTCTCTGTATATTAAATAGCTGTAATGTAGCTTCCTGATGCTTGACTAATTGAGGTGTTAATTCTGACTTGAGAATCTTTTTCATGAATGATTTTAAAGAAAAATTTGGATTTTAAAGGTATTAAAGTATTTTTGTTTTGTACGAGAGTTTGTTGCTCTGTATGACTCCTGTATGCATTGTATATTGCAATTTATTACTGTCAGAGATTTGTAGACAGTTTCTTATTTTCATATTGAATCATGTTACTTTTGTAATTCAAGTAAGCAGCTGGGTTAATTCATGATGTTTGCCCTTTTAATAAAATACAAGGGTAGAGTTCATTTTGAATGCAAGTTGCCTTTATTATAAATTTGAGTTTGTCTTGGTTATATCTTGCATGATGACCTAGCTAGATTTTTAACATTTGCCATATTTATTAAAATTAATTTTTTGTAAAACATTCATAGCATAAGCAGCACCATTTTTAAAAAATGTAACTGAAAAATTAAGTGTGAATGCAGAAGCAAATACTGTCTGCCCTATTGAACTTGGTGCCCATCAACAGTGTTTTCACTGTTCATCGTGCCTGTTAGGATAGTTTTAGTCCATTGGAGCTTTGTTAAGACTCCTTTTATTTATGAGTGTTGGAATTCATTTAAATTAATGTAGTCCTAGTGCTCTTGAAATGGTGCCCCTTTCATTTTGTATAAGATTTTTCCAAAACGTATCTCACTATCCTCTTCCAGAAGAGGGACTACTTTATAGTCTGATGATAAATGTCCTCATTTTATCTTTTTAACTGAAATGTCAAGTTTCCGGTTATACTATGGGAACCAAGAAGCATCAGACGTCATTGTCTGTACACTGACCTTTTCTGCATGGTGAGTGGACAGAATGAAGAGCTGAGTGCGTGCTGTGAATGGTGAGAGAGAAGCCGCCAGCTTCTAGTGTGCTGTCTTGATCTTTGCAATAAACGAAACCTAGATAATGTAACTTTGCATAATTTAGTAGTATGTATTTGGGTTGTTCCTTTTTTGAAATAAGGATTTGTATTTTTTCATCTTTTAGGTGATAATTTGAGTGTGGTTTTTTAAAAAAATCAATAATTGCTTTTGTACATTTTGCCAAAAAGGGTGAGTATTTGAGAGAATGTGATCTTGGAAGGACGCTCATATTTTTAAGGTAGAAGCAGTTTGCCACATATAGGCTGAACAGAAACATTTACATTGCCAGAAGCGCCTATGAGGGCATATTTGGATAATCTGAGGTTAATAACTTCCCCTCCCCTTTAAAAAATAGCACAGAGAACAAATAAGCAAAAATGGAGGAGTGGTGAAACAGCCTTCATTCTATTACTATGTTGAAATGACGAGTGTTAATATTTTGGTAAATATCATTTGTCCTTTTACTTTGCCAAATATGTATATTTTTATAAAAATAGGTTCCTACTTGCTTGCATACTGTTTCATAATATGCTTTTTTTTTTTTTTCACGGAATATATTGCGAACATAGTCTCCTAATTTTATTCCTCTATTATTCTATCGTGTGGCTGAAGCATAATTTATTTAATCCTCTTTAGGACATTTTGACTGTATACATCTTTTCACAGTTATAAACAATACTTCACTGAATCTTGTGTACATCCATGACTGTTTTCTTAAAATAATTTCTTAGAAGTAGAATTGCAGGGTTAACAGACGGGTTAACAAATAGGCAAAATTTTTAGGCTTTTGATACATATCAGTGTATTTTTGAAATATCTTCTATTTGACCCAGGTAGTATGTCACTATATAATTGATAAAAAGCATTTGGTCTTACGTAGTTCAAAGACTGTGTTATGTTTAAGCATCAAGATAAAGAAAAATTAGACAACTTAAAAATTTTAATATATACCAAAACCAATTTCTAAATTGAATAATTCGCTGGTAGTCCTGACTAAAAGCTTTAAAGTAGGTAAAACTAGGTCACTTTGGGTTATATGACTGTCATACTCTGAGAGAACCTTAGCATTCTGCATGTGCTAGCTACATAATCTCCTTTTACACAAGCAAGTGGTAGTGATGGAGTCTTTCTCGGCTTATGTTGCATTGAATTGAGTATGTTTTCGTCCCCTCTGGAATGTCATAAGTATGTAAGTTCCTACATTAACCTACAAGTGTGTGTGTGTGTTTTAAATAAGTTTGTACATACTGCTTTTATAAATATCCAAGAGAGAAATGGGCTTACAGACTAAGTCATAGATAGAATACATATAAAAATTAAAATATAAATTATCTAATTCAGAGGTACCAAAAATATGCACTTAAAATAGGCTAGCTTTTGGTATAGCTCTTAACTTAGTATCACATATATGAGTGGCTGAAAAGTATATTTTATCACATAAAGCAACAAATATTCTCTTGTTTGGGACTGTTGATAAAGTAATTTTCACTAAGATTTTTTTTTTTTTAAATCTTGCACTGCAAGAGTTCATTCTTAGCAAATGGTAGAAACTATTTTCCCCCCATATTTCATGCCTAATTGCTATTGCTATAGGAAATCCTTTTAGGATCCTCATAAGTATGTTCAGTTAGCATTATTAAAGGTAACCAGTATACCTTTAACCCACAAAGGCCATCCAGAAACAGGCAATAAGGCTTTTTTTTTTTTTTTTTTTTTTTTAAGAAATGAAAATAATAGATACTATACGATAGGAGGAAGAGAAATACAAATAGCTTAAAACATCCTCATACCCAATTATATGACACTAGGAAGGTAAAATAGTAAAATTCTCTCTGGAGTAAAGCATCTCTATTATTATGAGGCAGAGAAGGGACAGATAGGAGCCCCTTAGATACTTATTTCAAGACTTATTATTTATACCTGATTTTTAGGATTTTAAAACTAAGGCAGAATCCCTTCAAATCATGTACCACAGTTGACATTGGGATGGGTTAATTTCTCTGGCTTCTGGCCATCACCTTTCTTAAATGTAAACTTGTGCAACAGTATAGTTACAGGTTTCCCTGACCCTGCTTCCAGAAAGTTTTCTGTTTTCTCTAATTTGCACTGCATATTAGAGACACATGCGAGGCAATGTATTCTAAGAACTCCTATGCCAAGGTTTATGCCAGCGAGTGTTCATGCCCAAAAAGTCAGGTATGTGCTGGCTCTGTCTGTATAACCTAATGTCCATGGATTAGTTTTGGGGGTGAAAGTTACACGTTTGACAGGTAATTTCTCCATCTTCCACAGAAATAAGATTAAAAATTTATGGCACTACAGCATAAACTCTTGCCTCTAAGGTATAATTTAGGTCGACTTTGTCCTCTAAAAAAACAGTAACAATTTTGTGTCTTTTGTACCTTTTCCAGAGTTCAATTTCAGAGTACATGTGAATGGAAGGTATTTTCAAACCTTAAACACCGGGTAATTGATTTAAAACTAGTTGCTGGGCAAAAGATAAGTCATAACAGACAGTGCCTTCAGCCAGGATAGGTATGCCAAGAGGCTTATTCATGCATATACAATCCCCAGTGCTATGTTTACAAGAAATCAGATCCAAATCCTCTTTTCAGACCAAAGCAATGACTAATCAAAGAACACAAAGGAGTAATATTGGGCTAGCCATTTAAGGAAATGGCAGAGCCATTCTTTTAGAGGAAGAGTATAACTAAAGAATGGCTTCTGTATATTTCTAACCTTGCAAGTTGCAGTCTCATAAAGGTGCTATGTTGGACAGCGCAAAGCTGAGAGCGTGGCACCCTGGAATTCTGTAGACTACAGACTACCATGTTTCCTACTTACATCAAGGGCAAAAAAAAGCAATTTTAACTTGGACTTCATTTCCAATTGAAAGGCAGTCTAGATACTCTTGATAACCCCCAGCTTATAAACCAAATGTTGGAAAAATAGAAGCAACACTGTAAATTAATATTAATATATAATATCTTAAAATATATCACTGAGTTGATATGAAAGCCATTGCAAAGCTCCCAAATTAGGTGAAAAGAGGAAACCTGTGAAGTGAGCCATTACCAGACCCCACTCTTCCCTGAGACCATGAGACAGCAGCAGCGGGGGGCCTGGACCTAAAGCCTGAGGCTCACAGAGTCCAGAGGGCCACACAGAAAAGCGAGCAGCTAGGAAATCTGCCTGACTCCATTGTGCTGGGTGAGGGGGATAAGTCACCAGCTCCCACAAATTCACACAAGCCCACCCTCCAGGTCTGTGACCTGAAAACCACAACCTTCAAGCTGGCCAAGTGGTTTCAGGCTGGTAGCTCCCCCTGCAGTGTCTGGCAGAGCAATTTCAATCCACGCTTCAAATAATTCCTATTTCCCAAGGAAAGTAAGTTTAAAATGTCATTAAACTCGAGGAAAATGGCACTATGAGAGAAAAACAACACAGGGTATACAACAGTGGAATCACTCGCAAGGACTCTAAAGGCAAAAGTAATTTGTAAAGGAATAGAAGCAGAGAAAATTCGAACAATGAGCAAAAGATTACACAGAGAACAAACAAGAAGATTTGTAAACCAAATAAAACTCATTGAAATAAAGCCCTGGCCAAGTGGCTCAGTTGGTGCAGAGTCATCTCATACACCAAAAGGCTGCATTTTGATTATTCCCAGTCAGGTTGCAGGTTCAATCCCTGTTAGGATATGTACAAGAGGCAACTGTTGGATGTTTCTATCTCACATCTGTTTATCTCTGAGAATAAATAAAAACATATCTGGTGAAGATATTAAAAAACACACACAACAATCAACAGATAGAGGGGGAAATAACCCCTCCCACTCCCAAAAAAGATATAATTTATGATAAGGACCTAGAAATAAATCCAACATATTTGTAATCACAATCACAATAAATATAAATGTGCAGGCAGTTGTAATACAAATAGATAATACAGCCGGGACCGGTTTGGCTCAGTGGATAGAGCGTCAGCTTGGGGACTGAAGGGTCCCGGGTTCGATTCCAGTCGGGGGCATGTACCTTGGTTGCAGGCATATCCCCAGTGGGGGGTGTGCAAGAGGCAGCTGATTGATGACTCTCTCATCGATGTTTCTAGCTCTCTATCTCTCTCCCTTCCTCTTTGTACAAAATCAATAAAATATATTTTAAAAAAAAACAAATAGATAATACAATAACTAATAAAAGTAATAACGCTATATATATATATATATATATATATATATATATATATATACACACACACATACAAACCTATGCAATTAAAAAGATAGTTTCTCTTTGGTCCTTTGAGTGTGTCTCCTGTAAATTCAAAATATAAGACCAAAGACAGATCTAAGATATTCAGATAAAGACTAACCAAAATCTTGCAATAGTAACAAAAATAGCAAAACTACTGAGTCCCTGCATGGTTATAAAGGGTCCAAAATTCACCAGGGAAGACAGAATTCTAAATTAGTATGTATCTAATAATAAAGCCAAAAAAGAAAGAAAATTAATGATAACTTCAAGAGACGCTGAAAAATCTATCATAATCAGATTGTGAGACTTCAGGAAATTAGAAATCAAGCAAAAGATGAATCAGTATAAAGATTGACACAGAACAACTAATAAGTTTTATTTAATAGACATGATACTCCACTATTGGGGAACACACATTCCTTTCAAGTATATGGAACATGCATGAAAACTGATCACGTGATAAATCATAAAGCTATTTCATTTCAGAAAACTGAAACTTTATAGCTCATATTCTCTACAAAATGCTAATCAACTATAACACTTCAGTCCCCAGCATCTCCACCAAAAACAAAAAACAAATATATAACACACCCTGGCATTTGGAAATAACTTTAAAAATAACAATTGGGTTATATATTTGAAGCTCTGGGATATTTATTTTTTTAATTTTTTAAAAGGTGCAAATAAACTAATAGGAATGAGAAAGGCTCATAAGTACAGGTGCTGTGGAAACTAAAAATGTAAAAGTAACATGGCTTCATATATAAAAAATTTTAAACTAAGATGAAATG